TTTCTCTCCGTGTGAAGTACAGATACTTGAAAATTCTATTTAAGTACAGTAACGAAGTATTTGTACTTCGTTACTTTCTACCTTTGTCACTCAGTGAGTGTAACTATCAAAAGTCTTAATGCAGAGCCTTCTTCCTGGCCTGACGAACAGTCAGAAACCAGCTACTTTTCTTTGTGTGACAAATGAATGTTCTCACCACTGAGAAGGCGATGCACGCCACAGCACAGAAGCTCATGTTGATCTTTATGGCTTCCATGAACTTCTTGGTTTTGTCGACATAGAGACCCAGAATACCGGCGCCGATGATGCCAAACACAATGAAGAGGGCGCCGCACAACCCAGCAAAGTCCTGCAGTGGTCAGATTTGATAGGTTCAGTAGGTAAATAACTTTTATAAGTCATGTTTGCTACAGCAGATAGCATCTATGCAAGACTGGGAAAAGCTTTCTTTCACTTCGTTCAATAAGATGTTAGATTACTGTGCAAAGAAATTACACATTCATCAACATTTTTCTTAATTTATTCAGTTTGAGAGCTGTAACATCACCACCATCTAGTCTCAAATATACCGTCTGGGTTGCTTTTTTTTCCATTTATCCTTCGATGACATTGATTTGGAGTCTTTCTCCTGGCATATACTTACGTTGGTGTATCCTTTGACACACAGGATCTGATCCAGCAGCGTGGAGAAGCAGGTGAAAACGGCGATCCCTGAGCCGAAGCAAAGCAGCAGGACGAGGTAGGCTCTGTTCGTCAGTAACTACAGAAGAAACAGACCGGACGATTTGTAAGAGAAGCCTCAGGGGAAAACAAGCGCACTGCGGCAACATCAACAAGGGAAACATGTGCAAAGAAAATGAAATGAAGCGGTGAAACAACGGCGTGCTGGCTGCTGTTTACTCTGTCTGCGACTCCACGCTCACCTGGCACAGGAAATGCAAACACATTTGTGCAGAGCCTGCAGACATAGCGCACAAACTGTGTTGTTGGGGAATAAGATGCTAAAATCAGCACTGTGCAACTCGCATTGATAACAAAAGCTGCGCACTGTATAGAGAGATAATCACAGCAGGTGCAGGGAAAGTATGAGCGGCACGTTTGGGGGGGAAATGTCACCGATGCAGAGAGAACATCCTCACTTCAGAGACACTCATCGCCGCCTCTGTTAGAGACGTCACTGCTGCCGATGGAAATGTCAGTCGCTGCAGGAAGAAA